GGCTCGGGTCATGATCTCAGAGTCCTGGGATCGAGCCCCGCATTCTGGCTCTCTGCTCGGCAGGGAGCCTGTTTTCCCCTCTCTCTCTGCCTGCCTCTCTGCCTACTTGTGATCTCTGTCAAATAAATAAATAAAATCTTTAAAAACAAAACAAAACAAAACAAAAAAACAGAACAGATAAGGGTTTGGGTCGTCATGTTTGGTGATGGTGCAGGTAGTGGCTGGTGTGGTTACACAGCACTGAGAAGGTGGCCAGGAGAGGGTGAAAGAATTTGTCTTCTCTTATATTTTCAGGAAGGAAGTCACATGAAGCCAGTCACCTGGCACAGAGACTTAATGATTGTTCTCAGAAATCTCTTCCTCTTCATAATACCCCTCAGTGTCTAAAGACAATTCCACAGAGCGAGTTTAAATCTTGCTCTGGAAATTTAAGTGTTCCCCCCCCTTTCTTTTCCTTCCTTCCTCCCTCCCTCCCTCTTCTTTCTTTCTTTCTTTCTTTCTTTCTTTCTTTCTTTCTTTCTTTCCTTCCTTCCTTCCTTCCTTCCTTCTTTCTTTCTTTCTTTCTTTCTTTCTTTCTTTCTTTCTTTCTTAGTAACAATAGAAAAATCATTCAAATCATTGGGAGTCTTTGGTCCCAACCCTTGGTTGGCCTTAGAGATGATTATTGGATTACTTCTTCATGACCTCTTCTTGGGTAATTAATTTCAGTTTCCTTAACATCCCTCCTGGTGCTCATCTTCTAAACGCTGAAGTGGGTCTTTTGCTTTCCTCCATCTCCCAGAGTAATATTCCTTCCAGGCTGGAGAACGGTTGTTGGGTAATGGGTCAAGTGAATTAAGAGGCAGGCCATATGGTTCATGGACACTTTGCTCTCAACAACTTGATAAGAAGTGATTTGATTTTTTTTTTAAATTTTAACTATAAAAATGTAAGAACCATCTGCTGTTATTTTTTGCCTGTGATCCTGGTAAAGTTATTTAGTTAGACTGCTCCTTTGCAATTAGCTGCTGTCTGTGGAGACTTTTGTGGCAAAGCTGGATTATTTCACTTCTAGTTGTAATATACATGCAGGGTGTGTGTCCCATTCAGATTCCTTTCACAAATTGTGGCAGGTTTTCTTACATGCAGTGAGCTCTTGGGATGTATATGGCTTCCGTCGTAGCTACTTAAATGCTTTTATTGTAGTGGCTCATTTGATTGGTTGAGAATAGGTCACACACTAATTGCTATGAAGCAAACTGAACAGGCTAATGTGATAGAGAGTGATGCCAGGGGGTGGGACTGCTTTAATGAGGAGCACAGAAGCCCTCAAAGGAGGAGGAAGTAGAGTGGACATCTGCAGGGTGATCGAGAGACAACCAAATGAAGATGTCGGGTGAGCCAGTGAAGACCCGCGGTGAGAGAGTTTGAAAGGGAAGTGAAGAGCAAAGGCCCTGAGCCACGGGATCCACTGACGAATGAGCCAACGGATAAAGAAGTGCAGTGGGCTACTGTAGTAGGCGGCAGAGAATGCAGGAGGTGGGGGTGAAGAGGGTCTCGTCTAACAGAAGCCATTGGAGGTTTTTAAGGGAGGATTTGATACCATCGGATTTATAGCTCTGGAAAGCTCACTCTGGCTGCTAGGTGGAAGTTGGATTGTTAGAAGCAAGAATGGTGTCAAGGAAACCAGTGAGGGGACTATCGTTGCTGTCCAGATGAGAAACCATGGCGGCGTGGGCTGAGGTTGTGATCCATTTAGGATATATTTGGGATATAGAATCTATGGGACACACTTGATGATTTTGGTCCCTTACTCAAACATGATTCATTTTTTGTCAGTTAAGCTTTCGATGGCTAATGAAATCCAAGTGGAAATGTTCAGTGGGTGATTGAATATGTGAATCTGGAGCATGGGTGAGATTTGAAGCCTGAAATGTTCATTTAAATTTTGTGAAGGTCAAGAATGTAGACAGAGAGGAGGCTGAGGTGTCTGAGTCTGGGACACATTGTCGTTTAGAAGTCAGAAAGAGATACCAGCAAAGGACTCTGGCAGAGAGTAGCCAGAGAGATGGCAGAACCACATGCTAATGAGGAGCCTGGAAAGGAAAGTGTCTCCAGGAGAAATCGGAGCCCTCACCATTAAGTTCCGACTGTTAGCACTTAGCACCCGTATTAAAACATTAATTGAAAGATGTATTCCGTAGCTGCACATTTAGTGACAGCTGGAGCACGCTGCGCCCAAGGCTTGTCCACAGGAACCGTCAGCCACAGTGGGGTCAGAAACAGGGAGACTCTCTTCTCCTGGGGGCCAGGAAAGAGGGGGTTTCCTGAAGTCTTTTTTACAGTTTGTGAGATTTTCATACCATTACCAAAGCAGCAAAGAGTCATTTGTTGTTGTTGTTTTGTTAAATGGCTGTTTTATATATAGCTCGAATGACTAGACCACAAATCAGTTCTTGAAAAGAATCTGTAACTAAATTTTAATTCTCAATTTTAATTTCAGGAGTCTAAGGTTCACTTAAAAGCCTATATAGCCAACTCAGTGTATGAAAAGACAAAAACACTTACGTTTTTAACTTCTTTATATTCCAGTCCCGATGAGAAGCCTCAAAACAAATCATTTTCTAAATTTTCTCTTCTCGAAGGCAGTGTTTGTTTGGGAGTTAACTTTAGTTTATGGAAACTTGTTGTAGTGTAGTTGTCACTTGATAAATGATATTATTTAAATGAGTAATGGAGATTTCTTGCTTTCGGTCTCTCTTCAAGTGAATATATAATGTACTCCATCTAACAATTTAGATTGAACGGCAAAGTTGGGGGGGTCTTCTGTTTTTTTGTACAATTTACTACAAATTAATAGCCCATTTTTCTGCTGTAGTAATTGCATTTTCTCCAAAACCCAAATCATGATTGTTCTGGAAACAAGATGGTTTGTTTTGGCGATTCTTATCAAGTTTGGAGAAATAATGGGTTTGTTTGAAATTAAGCAAAGCTACAGTTTCTTTCAAGAAGGTTCAATGGATGACAAATACTTACGCAAACTCTGTACATGTTTATTCTGACCGTTTACTTTACTGACATTTAGTTAATTTTATGAATAGATAAGGCTAATAGGAATGTAGTGGGCAGATAGTTGGCAATAGATAGGGGTAAGAAACGTTCTCTTGGTTATTCAATCAAATACTTGGTTCGCTAATGGAATGAGACTTGCTGGGAACAAAACATTGGAAAATAACCCCTTTCCATAATTTTAACAAGATGACTGATTCTGCTGCTTTTTATAGAAATAAAATCTTGGGACACCTGGGTGGCTCAATCAATTAAGTACCCAACTCTTGATTCTGGCTCAGGTCTTGATCTTCGGGTTGTGAGTTCAAGCCCCATGTTGGGCATGGAGGCTACTTAAATAAGTTTTTTTATGGTACCTCAAAATTATCCATTTCTTCTAAGACCAAACTGGAAGTAGCTCATTTATCTGGCTGGCTCAATCCCATTTTCAAAGACTAAAAGCTCAAACAACGCCTGAAGCATAGGACCTTCCCTATGCGCAGCACCATGGTCATGGATGAGGAAAACACCAAGCCAGTCTGACAGCTGCGTACCTCTGTGTGAAGATTATAGGATGTAACAAGCCTTGTCTTTGGGTCCCTTGTGTGCAGTTATCTTTTTGAGGCATTGGCAAGACTGCCCTAGGGTAGAGTTTCCTGGTGTCCAAGCCACAGGAGGTACAGGGTCAGTCAGGGTGAAGGAGACTCTGGGCTCTCCTCTTTCCTGCCCTTCTCCTGCCAGCCCCTCTAACCACTTGGGGGAAATGAAGATAAAGGGCTGCGAGGGTGGATCAGGCTGTGGGAGGGGTTGGGGGGGACCACCCCTTGTCCATGTGGTGGTGGTGGTGGTGGGAAGAAGGCACTGTTGAGAGGGGTGGTTCTCCCTGGGAAGCGGCTGCGTCTGTCTCAGCCACCACTTTCCATGGTCCTCAGAACTGTACCTGGCATATAAACACCCAATAATTCCTTGGTGAACGTTGAGTGGTTGGGGGTGAGGGCTCACATAGACCAGGAAGAGCTGCTTCCGTTCCCTTCTGACCATTACTACCTTGAACGGCACACAGCCCAGTGTCAGACCAAACCCCAAGATCTTACACCTGGGGAAGTCACTTGATTTATTGTGCAGAAGGACCCTCTGTGACTTGGAGGCCTCCACTGAGTTAAGGCATCACGTATACATATAAAGCAAGCACTGGAATTCTTTGGGATATAAAACAATAATATCTTCCTATTAAGAGCAGCTTCTTAAATTTGATCATGTTGTCTTCCCATTGAATAAAATCCAAGCACATTCTCTTGGCTAACAGTGCCCTGTATTAAGTGGCTCCTGATTTCCTTTCTCACCTCTTTTTGTGCCACCCTCTGGTTCCTTGAACACTCCAGACCCCTTCCTGCCTGCTCTGACCTCTGCTCCGTCTGCTCTGTTCTCCCATGGCTCTTCACTTGCCTCTGTCTTTCTGCGATCCTTTAAAGATCCACCGAACTGGCATTTCCTCAGAGAGGCCTGCTTTGCTCTCTCTGTCATCCCCTCTGTCCCATTATTTTGTACCTAGGCATTTTGTGTTTCCCTGGGTGTTTGCCTTCTTGTTTATTAGCTTTCGGCCACACTTGATTGAATGCTTTATAGGCTGCACTGTCTTCTGGTTGGGTTATCCTCTAGTCTAGTCCCTGGTTCAGAAGAAGCCTCACAAAATGAATGAATGAATGAAGCCTCAGCCCACTTTTCATCAGAATGTGTTTCAAGTAAAAAAAAGAACAAAACATCTTTTTTTTCTTTCTCAGATTCTCAATATGCAAAACACATATGCCCATTGTCCGTGTGGATTTGCAATGTAATAATTCCCTAGCCTTAGTACGGAAATGCCTTCAAGGATAGGGTTTGTGATTTAGTGCCTGTGGTCTAACTACTATTAGTGCTTTTTATTCCTAAACTTCTAATGTGTTTTCTCTGCCCTTTCCTTTCGTCTTTTTTAGCAAGGGAAGCCATATGTCTTCGATAGAGTGCTGCCTCCCAGCACGACCCAAGAGCAGGTTTACAATGCGTGTGCAAAGCAAATTGTCAAAGGTAAGTGCTATTTCTTTATTTCCTCCCCGGCCTTTCAGAGTAATTGAAAACATTAAGTGATATTTGCAGCCTAGGACTCAAAGTGCCTTGACTATAAGCAGAGGCCTGCTAATTGGAAACACTGAATTGTAGCCCGAGCTCTGACTCTGATTTGCTATGATGTCAAGCAAGTTCTCGCACCTCTCTATACCTCCTTGCCAAGGAAATTTCTTTATTTCTTTTGTCACCTTTTTGGCAGAGTTATTCTGCCACCTAGAAGCTTAAAAGCTATGGTCACACTATTTCTGTAATGGTTTTAAAATACTGCTGTAGGTATAAGACCTCCTTTTTACTTTGAAGGAGACAAAAATATATGTATTTCTGATGCTCCAGTTGTCTGTTTTTGGCTGACTCATTTTGGGCATCTGTCTCTTCAGGGAGAAGCCTTACACGTGGAAAATTCTCAGGCATCAAGGAATTTTCTACAGCATCATAAAATCACATTACCTTGTTGGTTATTGAGCTCTTCTTGCTACTCAGCGTTTCTTAAACATACTTCTGTCTAACCCACTTTCCACCTTTCCACCCAGATACCAACATTTGTTCCTCCAAATAGATAGCCTGAAGCCTAAAACCATCTCAGAGATCAACCCTTTTCTCTGGGACTAGCCTTGGCCCTGAAGGTTCTGCGTCAAAATAACAGCAGGGAGATGAAGCAATTTACACATCGCTCTACCTTGCCCTTTCAAATCAGGGGCAGGCTGGAGCTTGCCTTGGGGGAGCTCGCCATCTGGACAGAGCTGAGGGGCATCTCCTGCTACTTTGTTTTTCATCTTCATATCTTAACCTTCAACTCTGAATGCTACGGCCCCTGTGCTTTCAAATGTCCTGCTGTTTGTACCTTTATAGGTAGCTGTAGATTTAAAGAGCAAAAAAGCAAAAACAATTAAAAAAGCACCTTGTCATGCAAGACGTGCTTGTTTTTGGAAGACGACTAACCTAAGTATTTGAAATTCCTGAAAGCCAACCCTGGGTGCATCTGTTCGATTAGTTCTGACCCTGGGCTCCTGCGTAGGAGACAGCACGTAATGTTCCTCGCTGAGGTGTATGGTTATTCATGTTCCTGTTGCAGACATCAATTGATTTTGAAGGTCTTCACAGGAAGATGATACAGAAGAGAAAAACATGCCTGAATTTGGGCTCTTGAATTAATACTGTGGGCCTATATCTGGTGGTAATGTTTGTCTTCTCTCTACTTCTATTCTCTTGTATCTCTTCCTGTCTAAAAATGTTTTCTCTCTCTCTGGAGTGCGTTGTTCTAGTTTGCTGCTAGTCAACCCTCCTTCCTCTCCATTAGCAGACTCTTCCTTATTTTTATTAAAGTAAGATTAATCACACGTGAGCCATAATTTCCTTCTTTTTCTCTCCCCTTCCATTATCAGAACCAAATAGTATTTACCACGTGCTGTGCTAAGCATGAGGTCCATTTCAACACATCTCTAAGTTGATGTTGTAATTACAGATGGATGCACTCCCTTTTTCAAAAATCCTGTGATTAACAAACAATCATAACCTTTCAGTCTTCATTACTAGAGAAGTTGGGTCTCTTTCAGTGTTTGGGTTTTTCTGTAGTATGAAATGTCAGAAATAGGCAGTCCTTGGAAAGTTCTTGTGAAGACAGGACCTAACTGGGTCACTTGAGGCCCAATATATGGTGAGCCACAAAGAAAACCACTTAGGGTAACATTAGGCTCTGACATGATATGATAAACAGATAGTTTTCAGATGCTGTAAATGTAATGTGAGCATACTCATTTTGTAACAAAGAGTTCTTTCTTCTTCCTTGAAAGGAAACTAATGGGGGGTGATGAAGGCCTAATTTAACTTTTTTTAATACCCACTGAGGCTAGCATGAGGGGAAGTGGCCATGTTATTTCTGCATCAGCAAGGTAAAACACAGATGTATAAGAAAAAACTCCTTAGAATAGTTAATAGGTACAGCTGAGGTTTCTTTCTTTTTTTTTTTTTTAAGATTTTATTTATTTGTTTATTTGACAGAGATAGAGAGACACAGTGAGAGAGGGAACAGAAGCAGGAAGAGTGGGAGAGGGAGAAGCAGGCTTCCCGCTGAGCAGGGAGCCCGACGCAGGTCTTGATCCCAGGACCCCGGGACCGTGACCTGAGCCAAAGGCGGACGCTTAACCCACTGAGCCATCCAGGCAGCTCACAACTGAGGTTTCTTTTGCCATGACAAGCCCTATTTAAATCAGGAAAGGAAGGTGGCACTGTAGGGGTCTCTTTTTCTAGAGGCCAGAAATTCAATCAGATAACTTCTGAAGGCCACCGCAGCCCCCACGATTCATGGTAACGTAGTGGACTTGCAAGCGTTTCTTTCAAGGCTCTCTGAACCCTTAACGTTTTTGAGATCATGAAGACTCCTTTTAACTGGATAGCTTTTTTCCTCTCTTGGTTTTTTCATTCCCTTCAACTTCACTGGGTTTTTCAAAACATATTTCAAACATTTGATTCTAGAATTCTGGTACCTCCCACATTCCCATCTTTGTCTGGTGTGTGTTTTTCAAAATGTTGTCTGAGAGAGTATGTAGAATTCTTTGTTTCTTCCAGAAAAGCTTATAGGATTTGTGACTCTCAGCATGGTAAATAGGAAGGTTTCTGTGGACGCGCTAGGAATTAAAAACCATGGTTACTGCTTGCTATTGTTGAAGTACGGGGAACTATTTCCCACTCTACAGAAGTCACTCTGGGCATTTGCCTTTCAAATTAACTTGATGTGGACTGTACAGGGCTAGAGAAGGTGGTTCCTTGTTTTCTAGATCTGATTTCTTTAGGCTTCGTTTGTTTGGTTATTTCTTTTACCCATTCCTTTATGCAGAGATAGTAAGTATTTACCATGTAGAGTAAGCACTGCTAGGGATTAGAGTCACCAAGGTATATAAGACTGTCTGCAGGGGCGCCTGGGTGGCTCAGTGGGTTAAAGCCTCTACCTTAGGCTCAGGTCATGATTCCAGGGTCCTGGGATGGAGCCCTGAATCAGGTTCTCTGCTTAGCAGGGAGCCTGCTTCCCTTCCTCTCTCTCTCTCTGCCTGCCTTACTGCCTGCTTGTGATCTCTGTCTGTCAAATAAATAAATCTTAAAAAAAAAAAAAAAGACTGTCTGCAGAAAGCTTCACGGATAGGGAAAGAGATGGAGGCACCCATAGTTTTTGTACCTGTGGGGAATACATGCTTTAAACTGGCTGTGTGCAGAATGCTGTGGAACCACAGAAGGAAGTCACAGGGGACTGATTTTGGTGAATGGGGATGAGGTTTAGAGAATTAAGGAAGGCTTCTTGGAAAGGCTGGGTCCTGTAAACTGTAGAATATGTCTACATTCTGTACAGGCACAAGGAACAGCAAAATCATAAGACACAGATTATATGGCTTGTTTGGGCAACTTAGAGTGTTACAAGGTACTGAGGGGCCAGAACTTAAAAAGATAGGCTAGATCAGAGTTCGGTGGAATTGGATGGGCTTTATCCTCCAGGCAATGTGGATTCACTGACAAGTTTCAGGTTCAAGATACTATAAATATGTTTTATTATATTATATGTGCCTCTTAAAAAGAAGTATATTTATTTGGGTACTGTTATCTGTCAGGCACCATCTATGCACTTTACGTATGTTATCGTATTTTAAGTCTCAACAATTTTATGAGGTATGGGCATTATTGGTTCCATTGTACTAAAGAGGGATTTGAAGTTAGATGACTCGCCCAGGTCAGTTAGGGGTTGGTAAGGCTGGAATTTGAGCCTGAGTTTTGCCTGTCTTCCTTGAATTTTTCTGCACTATTCTGCTCCCACTTTTCTGGAGAGCTCATAATGAGCATTTAGTAACTATTTATGAGTTGTTACTTTTCTATCAGGCCACATGGACTATAAACCAAGCATTGCAAAAAGACAGGGATAGGAATGGCCACGGGAAAAGGAGAGAGGAGAGAGAGGGAGAGATTGTGGCGGGTGGCCTTGGGGTGGCCCTGCCTGTCTCCCAACAGTGAGATGCATGTCCATTCTGAAGATGCAGGAATGCCCTTCCCTTCAGACTGGCTGGCCCACCATTCTGGTCTGCCACTAGTGTTCAGCAGGGCTGCCTCGAGGCATATGCCTACTTGAGTAGTTTGTTGGACAGCCAGAGCCTTAGGGCTCCAAGGCAGGGATGACTTGTCTGTCACTATTGCCACTGACAGGCCGCCGTTTCATTTGGGGAGTTGGTACAGGCCATGCCTTCTCAGGAACTTGTATGATTTCATCCTCCTCAAATTCTTACCCAATAGTAGAATTAACTCTTCTGCTCTAGGAAGATCTGGACTCAGAACTAGCAAAATCTAGGGTGGAAAACTGGCTTCTGAAGTCTATAGCGAGAGGCGAGAAGTATTTTCAAGGTTCGCCCCCCTCTCTGGAGGTGAGAAGGCTCTTCCCACCTGCTGCAGAACCTCTCTTTGGGTTTGCTTGGCTGCCGGATGGATGTGTGCTGTGTTTGTGGGTGCCACTAGCTTTGTGGTGTGAGCTGAGGTCATATCACGCCAGAGCCCATCACAAAGCAAGGTTCTGTCTGGCTGAGCTGGTTCCTGGCTCTGCGGCTGGTGCACAGAAATAGTCATTCTGCTACGGGAGAGGCTCTGAAACAAATGCTTTCCTTGGGCCCAGGAACTGTCATTCAGGGTGATGAAAGTGCCTTTTTGTGGGCTGTTTCTATTAGGGTTGGGTGGGGGTTGCTGTGTGGCTCATCGTGGTGCTCTCCCATCCTGCTTTCCTGGGCGTGTGCTCTGGCCTCCTCCATCCCAGCAGTCCAACCCAAATGCACAGTGTGCCCTCACTTTCCCTCCTGCATCTCCTCTCCCCTGATAATCAGACATAGACTGGGTAAACACACCAACCCCTACAACCTGGAGTTTGGAAGAAAACTGAGAACACTGGGTTCAAAGAGCTTTTTCTATCTTTTTAAAAAATAACCATTTAAGTCACAGTTGAGTTGAAAGAAGGCATCGGCTCTGTTCAGCCTTGAACACTAGAGATAGGTTCTACAACAATGAATTAATTGTAACATGACTGTAAATAGTACTTCAAAGACTAAGCAGCATTTGTTCTGATGGAGTTTTATGTACTCTTTTCCTTTAAAAAAAATAATAATAATTGCACTCTGTGTTGAAATAACAGCAACAAACAGTCAAGGATTCTCCAAGTAGAGCCTCCTGTGTTCCTTAGCTCCCTGCTCTAAGACAAGTAGTGCTCTCCCTGAGCTCTTTTGTTTTCCCGTGTGTGTCGTAGGCCTCACCCTGCAGGAGTCCTGGCAGCAGTAGCTAACTAGGAGTTAGTAGGATTGTGCATTCTGCCCAGGGAAGTTGGGTTTAGAGGTGTGGACCCTGTCCAGGGGTGCCCAATTTAGGTGCACCGGCCACGCTGCTTGGTGGCAGTAGAGGAAACGTGCCGGGTTTTCTCTTGTCCGTGGGGCTCTGACTCTGAACTGGGTTTTCTTTAGGGTGCAGCACGTTGTTCAGCGCCCCCTTCTGCGTGCATGTGCACTTGCAGGGTCGCCGGCGGCCTGTGAGAAGGAGCAGAGGGAGCTGGACCCTTGGCCTTGGCCTCCTTACCCCGGATCTAATAATGCCTAGGCTGGTAGGTCCCAGAGTGCCTCCTACACTGAGGCTGGAGGTAAGGAGGCCCTTTGAGTTTAGGGAGAGATGTTTGATTTCTGATAAACAGAAGCTTTAGTGCTGTGATTGTGGCTAGCATTCCAACTGCCCGGAGCTGTTTATGCCATGAATATAGAATTTTAAAGGTACAACCGCAGGATGGGAGCCTCTTTCTTTGTGTCCCTCAAAGCACGTTGCATTCATGGCCATTTAGAGGCTCTCCACTCTGAATCTGTTCTCTGAGCAAGTTGGCATTTCTGTGAAAACTGAAGCTTGAACCCCCAACCCTTACATTGTGGTCTTCAAGTTTTTGCTTCTGTTCCCAAGGAAACCATTACCAGAAGTTTGATATGTGTGAACATTCTCTCTCTCCCTCCTCTCTCTCAATATAGCTTGACACAAACTCTGGAGGGCTGCTAGGATTTAAAAAAAAAAAAAAAAATTCTGCTGCTGAATTTTTCTCTCTCTCTCTTTTTTTTTTAAGCTTCCTGAAGGAAAATCCCACTTTCATTTCTGACCCCAGTTCACACTCTAGTAACCTCAGATCAATAACATGTAAATTGAAAAAATTTTTAGAAAAGCTAACAAAACAACAAAAATTAACTGGCATGAAATTCGGAGAGATCAAAACCACAAACAAACCAGCCTAATCAGGGCCTGAACTAGCTGGAGCTGGTGGCCTGGACTGATGAGGGAAGGAGCCAGGGGCCCTGAAGAGGACACCTCAGTAGGGGGTTCCTCAGAGAGGTGGTGAAGGGAATTGCCACATTATTTTTTTGCCTCTTCATTAACATATTCTGTAAGAATGTGAGTACATTTCTTATCGCCCCCACTGTCCTTTCAGGAATGAGACTTCCTTCCCTTATGTACAGCTGTTGGGTCAGGGATATTAATCATGTACTATTTACCTTTCGGTGATTTGATGCGGACGAAGGAGGACTGAGGGAAATGAGTGGTAAATATATTTTAATCACCTCAGCTGCTTTGAAGGAATTCCCACAGATAATCTCCAGTGTGGAGAAGCATCTGTCTGCATGCTTCCCCTTGTCCCTGTGTGAAATGGAAGCCGGCCTGCCGAGTGGGGGGCTTTGCACAGTGTGCTCATTGTGTAATTAAAAGAAATTCCCGATGCTGATGGGCCTGGGCCATCCTGCCAGCACCGTCACTGAAAAAACAGAGGTCTTAACTTTGAGGGCCCTGGCGTTTCTGGGCTGATCGGATTGTCCCCGTGTGGCTGGGTTTACAGAGTGGGGCCCTGTCCTTCTCCCCAGTTCTGGACTAGCTCCGTTCTCAAGGGGTTCCGGGCCGCCTTCCTGAAAAACCTCCCCCAGGAGCTCGCCTGCGCCGGCATTTCAACTGACCCAAATCAGATCTTTGGGAAAGAAATTCTATTCTTTACCTCACTCCAGAGAGTCAGGACACGGATAATGTTTTTCTTCCTCCAAATGATCTCAGGAGATCAATTTAGAGAAGAAAACTTGAGTATCTTTCTGCTGAAAAGGAAGTGTACTGCTCGATAACTGTCTTAATATTGACATTACTGGGAGAGAGTGTCTGTCTTTCTTTTTCTTTTTTTTTTTTTTTTTGCCTCTTCATTAATATATTCTGTAGGAATGTGACTACATTTCTTATTTGGGGAACAGTGGAGGCCTTCATTTCTGCTTTTATCTCACAATTCTACTTAAAATGCAAATGTAGTTGAAATACATCATTTGTGTGAAAAATGAGATGGGCCATTTGGAATATGTAATTTTAAAATATGGAACCAACACAAGCATACGATCAAAGTAATGAGTTAATTTTAATTTCTTTTTCTTGCCTGCAGATGTCCTTGAAGGTTACAATGGGACGATTTTTGCCTATGGACAGACCTCGTCAGGAAAGACACATACCATGGAGGTATGATTGCAGCGTGCTGGGAAGCATCCCCACGGGTGGCTCAGTAGCTCTGTACGACCAGCCACATTCGGGTGCCTGCAGCCCCCTGACTGTGATGTGAGAGAGAGACGGTAAAGGGACTGGTCATGTCTGACCAATTCATTTTGGCATCGTGGAGTTTCAAAATAATGATAATAAAATCCCAAGAGTTCAGAATTTCAAAGAAAATCCTTTGTTGGTGGCTCTCTCAAAATGGTAATAGTACATTCTTTTAAAATACTCATCAGTAAGCTAAACAGTAGTGTGAGTATCCTTAGGGACTGCGGCCCTAATCTCACTGAGAAAGTCTGCTGTGAGAATCATTTATGCTAAGAAGGGCCACTCTAGGGAGGCGAATTTCCTCAGAGGAAATAAAAAACCATAGGACAGAGATGCAAAGAAGTTGGCCTATGGACCAAATTCAGCCCAGAGACATATTTTTATTCTGCCTGCACACCGTGTGTTTTTATATTTTTTAAAAAAATTATTATTGTATGTATTTTTTAATTGCAGGCAGTGCTTAAAATAGGATGATTTCACACAATTTTAAGCTTCCAAATTGGGTTGAAAATTCTAAAGATCCTACAACTAGGCAAAATTTCACCATCCTATAAAGCGTAGGCGTCACTAGCGCAGAGATCATCATTGTCTTCTTCACCTGTTTATTCACGTTTCTAGTGCATGGAACAGCGGCTGTTCCTCTAGGAGGGTTCGATAAAACACTTGTTAAATTGATAGCCTTGAGGTGACGGGGGCCAACCCTGTGTGTGGGCTGGGCCATCCCAGTGTACCCAGCCCCCTGCATGCACAGTAGGAACTAGCGTGCAGCCTCCTTTGTCATTAACGTGCACACCTGACCTCTGTGAGGGTGTGAAGGTGTGAGCCCAGCTCAGAGTGTTGGCTGTGGAGCCTGTGGCTGTCTTCCAGGCTGTCTTCCAGACAAGACACATTTACAGATAAAATTGGCCCCCTTTACCTCTTCTTTTCCTGCTTTTTTGCCATGGCCTCCTGTAAGCCCTTCAGGGCCGGATACTCTTCTATAGGCTGGGCCCGCCTGACAGGTGAGCGGAAGTAGAAGAGTGGTTATTATAAGACACTGTGCAGAGGAAGTTGGGGGAACTCAGCTTACAAGCAGCAGGGTAAGATGAATCCTTGATCCTTCAAGCTTAGGATTTTCATTTACGGTTCCCTCCTGGGAGTGTTCCTGAGAGATGTTGGCCACAGAACTGCTTTAGCTTATGATTCATTCCTATTGAAGAGGAGATTTCAAAGGCACAAGGCTAAAACCCTTGGGGCTCTGATGTTCTGCTCACACACATTCTAAGTGTGTGTGTGACTCGGGGGGATCTTATTTCTGTTGTGTTGACTCACTTTCAACCGTTCGAGGGGGATGGGGGACAGTGGCTCCGAGATCGCACAGATTAAAGGAAGCATGAAATTTGTTGACCACTGCTTCTGGACGGAGCAGGACCGTTCCCTGCACCTGAGCCTTGGTCACGCCCTTCTCCGCATCTCATGTTCTCATGCAATACCCCTTGGAGATGCAGGCACATCCTCTTGCCTGCCTCTTACTGGACCCCAAACCCTTAACCTTCCAGGCACTAGCAAAGTTGCAGTTCTATATTTCCCAAGTACCAGCAACTCCAGTACCCATGACAAAAGCTCCTTCATAGGCCATAAGGCATGGTGGGGGGGGGGGTGGCGCATCTCATGATGATGTCCATCAGTCTCTAGGTTTTTGGAACATTACCAAACAATATACACAATAACAACAGAAAATGCGGTAGTTAGAATCCCCCAAATCATAGGGACTGTTTACAAGAGTGACCTTTTTAGCTTTGGGATTAATTCATCTTTGGAAAATACAAGGTATTTGCTCAATGTCAGAAATTTAAAATGTAAACCATCAAAGGAGAGACCTGTCCCCAGAGTAAAATCATAGTTTGTGGTGTGTGTGTGTGTGTGTGTGTGTGTGTGTGTTGGGGAGGGGCTAATCTGTGGGTGTAAGGAGATGGCAAAGACAAATGCCAGCTCTTTAAAATGAAAATAGGAGGTGTTTTGTTAAATGAGGGCGCCTGGAGCCCTGGGCCTCTCACAGCATGAGCCTTACAAGGCCTGCAGCGTGCTCAGCTGGGGACCTTAGGGAAACTGGCTTCTGTGCAGGTTACTCTCACGGTAAATTTAGGCAAATTTTGTAGTTTTTTCATCCACATCGGTTTTAAAAGGTTGATTGCAAGGGGCGTTTTTCTTTACTATGACTTCCGAAGATCCTAGAAGGAAGGAATGGGTTGGGAACTTTCCTAGACACCCCCCTTCCCAACACACACACTTAGTCTGATTCTTTCTGTCCAGTAATTATAGATTGAAGAGAAGGTAGGGAATATGTTAGAGGAAAAGAGAAGCCCCGAGCTGAAGTCGTAGAGACTGTGGGAGACTGAAAAATCCAGGACCCCGGAATGCAATTAAATTAAAAAACAAAACAAAACAAAACAAAACACTGCAGGGCTTGCACCATCTGAACGGATTTTATGTATTTGGAATCACACATTGTGATCTTTCAAAGGCTTTTGGAAGGGGATGTTAACTCCCTGAATGGACAGAGCTCTCACATTTTAAAGCTGTTTTTCATTTTAATCCCCTCATTTTTGGTCTGACATCCAGTGGTGATTCCATTACCTTCTATTGAGGAGAACAAACAGATAAGCCTACATAAAATTGGAAAGATTAGCTTCTGAAGATGCAGCATTTAAGGTGGATTCTCAGTAAAAATAGGAAACACTTGACGGTGCTGATGCCAGGCTTGGTAGGACACTGGCACACACTGGGCCCTGGCATGTGCGGCCAGTGTTCCAGGGCTGGGTCGAAGGAGGGCTGCTGGGGGTGCTGGCTATATGGGGAAGAGAGGGCTGGACCTTTGTTTGGCCTGTGGTGCTGGGAAGAGCTTCTGTGGGCCTTGGGCTTTGCTTTGTGGCCCTCTTTGGCACAGATTTAGATGGATGGAGACACGCTGTTTTTCCTTCTGCCCGAAGGGACACCTGGAGCCCGTGGAATGGCGCAACCCCCCCACTGCTGGGCTGAGCCTGCCAAGTGATTTTTAATGAGCCTGTCCGAGTGCACTGGTGCTCGTGTGAGCTGACAGGCTGCCTGCTTTCCCATCTTAAGTGTTTCAGGAAACTGTCCTGCTTGGGAGGTTGAGGAGGCACCTGGGGCTAGAACAAAGGGAGTCTTGTTCTATGGCTGATGGCCTGCGTCTGGTTTCTTCTTTCATACATGCCCCGAGAAGGCCACATTCAAAAGTGGGAGAAGTTTTTGAAGAGGATTATGTAGGATACAAGTAGAAAAATGTTCTTTTTGTTTTCTGAGAGAAAAAAGGATGATGAAGTGGGACATTCCTTTGCTACCCAAATCCATCCCAATCCTTCAGCCAACTGAAGTTGTCCTGGCTATCTGGAAGGTAGCCTCGGTTAGTATTCTTCAGTTCGTGGGCCACATTGCTGTCCTCTCAAGATCCCTGCTGCATCCCCTTTGCCCATCCTCATCTTCCTCCTCTCTCAAGATTTGTCGTCCCTCAACGAAGCCATCCCAATACCACCCCAGCTGGAAAGGACTCTCCTGTGCTCTAAATTTCCACACCTCTCCGCTTTTTTACCACCTTGCATTGCCTAAGGTGACTACTGCGTATGTGTAGATGTGTATTTTATTTGCAAGAAGGAGTGAAGACCTTTATGAAACACCTGTCTATCTCATACATACACAACACACACATCAAAACTCCCCCCAACACCACTCACACCCACATACTATATACATCACACACATCCACTCCGTACACCACGTATACCAACACACACACACACACACACACACACACACACACACACACACAGATTGTCTTGACAGGCTCAGTTTATTGAACATAAAGGCTCAGTTTTCACCACACTTGGGTTTATGAGCTAGATCAAGCATCGTAGCCTGGAAACCTGTGGTAGATTTGAGTAGTACTTCCATGACCATGGGAATGGGAGGTATCCTTACGCCTTCTCCAAATACACATGTGCTGCCCTCTCATGTGATTTTTGGGTGTGGGCTTCAGGGAAACAACACAGGGAGTGTCCCAGACTCATCCCTGGTTCTGCCTTGGTTCTTACCCTGACAAAGGCAAACAAAGGGATGCCAGTATTTGTATAAGCTAGGAATCAATTGAAAGATAAATCTTTTGGAAGGGAAAGCATCTAGGGAAACAGACTTGAGTCATTTATAAATGACTTTTGGATTATCTCTCATCTTTCTTTGTCTGTGGACCACTGAGTAGAAGCTAAAGGATTATGATGGATTATTGAAGGGTTCTGTGGGGAGCATGGGGGGCACTCCTCAGATCTCCAAGGTGGATTGGCCCAGTGGTATCACAAAATTTGACTGGACAGAGATCTGTGTTTTCACAGTCCATGTCATTTCTGCCAGCAATTTACACAGTCCTGAGCCTGTGGGGCCCAATATTTTATGTTTACAATGGCCTATGAGAAGTAAGCTTACCAACATTTGAGAGATCCTGAGTCTCAGTCATTGAGGGCTGTTTTTCTGAGATTTCTAGTCATGGCCTGGGATAGAAATGTATTTTCAGACTCTTCAGGTCAAATAAACCTTGACGACTGCTTAATGGGAACCTGATATGAGCTGAATAATATAATGCTAACATTTATCATTTCTAACCCTCTCTTTATACTGCTTAATTTAACTTCTACAATAATTCGATGCAGGAGACACCGTACTTAGCGTCATAAGCAATGGGAAGAAATACATATGCACTGGCCATCTTGCCTTCAGGGGCTGTACCGTCAAAAAGCCACATAAACACATCAAAGGATTTAGGATCCTTAACATGCGAGGGCATTCCCAGGTAAAAGAGCTTTGCCAGGGCCCAGATGTATCTAAATTCAGCTTTTCTCTTGCTTTCAATGGAGTGGGAGGTGGATCAGGTGTGCAAAGGAGGATTCAGAACCGGAAGTGCTTAGCGCCTAAGTCCACATGATTTCTTGCTTTTGGTAATTCAGATTGTTGGCTTCAGAGTCAGCCTGTCAGAGAGGCACTACGTGGTGAATCCCTGAAGGATACAGAAGATCTCACTGAGGAAAACAAAGCAGATCTTCCAGGTGTCGGGCAGATTTTAGAACAAGTGTGTGAGTCATAGTGTTGGTAAAGTTTGCTGAGAGAAGAGTAAATGGGTTTTGTACTTTTCTTCCAGTTCCATTTTTCCTAGAGTTTAGAACTTTCTGAAGATCCTAGAGTTTTAGAACTTTCTGAAGACTCTTCTTGCCAATGATTACTTTAGACTTGCAGACTTCGTGTTTGTGCATTGATGTGTGGTTTAACAGGGAACAGGACAGAATTTGGAGCATGGGAGTAAGGAAGGGTCTCTGGAAGTCCTTGCTGAGGCTGCTGTTTAAATACTTCTAGAGCTCTTGTTTGGGGATTGCTTTCAGATATCGTGGCATATTTTTTTGAAAGTCTTCGGAAGCAGCAAATCTGGATCTTTAAAAATGGATTTAGTGATAGAACTCAAATCACAGAAAAATTCATCTATCCCTTCATCCCTTAGATGAAATATCCCTCAAATCCCTTAGGGTTGGAGGATGGTTGCTGGCTGCATGGGGAAGGGAGGGCTGGGCCTCTTCGGTAGAAAAAAGGGGGATAAAAGAATAAGAGAATATCTTACAAGTGAACTTAAATATTAGAAATAGCAAAAAATTTAAAAAGAAACCAGCTAAAAATTTTTTGTAACATTTCAGGCTGGGAATTACAGATTTTTAAGAAATTGATAAAACGGCTTTTCTTGACTGGTTTGTGAGGTGATACTGAAGGTATTCCTAGAATAATTATTGTTAAATTTTTGAGCAATGATGACTATCAGTCTATCAATGTCTATCAGCTCTCAAGTTGGCTTTATTAAAGCAAATTAATTTGGACTTATACATTTGGATCAGTTTGTAAAAATTTCAAAACAAAAACCACATTTAGTATGTGATAGTTACCATATAATCCCAGACCTCCTGTCTTCCTTCCCTCCTCCTTCCTACCCACACTCTCACCACATATAATGATTTAATGATTTTGCTGCCCTGAGTGGCAGCTGGAGAAAAATATTTTCAAGCCCCAGAACCTGACAGAACAAACTCTCTTCTGCTGGGTGAAAAGGAACATGGTGAGTTATTTCCATGAACTTTTGGGCTGTTGGCACGTCAGGGGGACCTCCAAGGATCTGACTGTGTGTGTGTGGGGGGGGGTGCTCCCTCTTCCATGGAGTTCTGTTATGAAACCCAGCTTGGTTCCTTCTCTCTTCCACATGTTTCCTGGCACTCTAGCTGCCTGTGCTTGTGTTTTTTTCCCTCACTAGGGGAAGCTACATGACCCTCAACTCATGGGGATCATCCCAAGGATTGCCCATGACATCTTTGACCACATCTATTCCATGGATGAAAACTTGGAGTTTCACATCAAGGTGAGTGCTATTGATTAAAGAGAAAAACTGGGCCCCAAATAATGTTTTCGTTTTCCTTTTTGTATGTATGCATAAAAGATTGTTTTTTATCTATTTTAAATGAAATGCTATGGTAAGCAAAGCCATAGTTATTTAATGACTCAGGTGAATACTAAGGAAATATCAAAGTAAAATAAAAACCTTATTTAGGATAGAATCATCTGGATAGTTATCTGAATTCTACCCTTTACCCAGTGGATCTCTATAGATATGACTGGAATGTGTTCATGATTGCGTTAGGACAGCATTTCCCAAAGTGTGTTCCATGGAACACAGTCCCTCATATTATTAATAGGTGGCCTATCAGGGAAAAGGCTAATGGGGCCAAATAAGCTGGGAAAATGTTTTGTTGAACAATGTTAAATTCATCACAAGTTAAATATGCTATTATGTAATCCAGTTCTACAAAGGGGACATGTAGCAGATTACGTTTTCCAGCTTATTTGACTGTGTTCGTATTTTTCCCCTTTTGAGGTATGCTGGACTAGTGTTTTGAGGAGTACGCTCTGACAAGTGTTGGTGAAGGGCGTTATCCTTCCTGGTTTCTGTTTTTGTTTTTATTTTATTTTTTTAAAGATTTTATTTATTTATTTGACAGAGAGATCACAAGTAGGCAGGGAGGCAGGCAGAGAGACGGGAGGAAGCAGGCTCCCTGCTGAGCAGAGAGCCCGATTCGGGGCTCGATTCCAGGACCCTGAGATCATGACCTGAGCCGAAGGCAGAGGCTTAGCCCACTGAGCCACCCAGGTGTCCCTTGTTTTTGTTTTTAAGCCAGAACCTCGTTGCAACTTAAATTTGAATTGAAAGAGAATTTTTTTCTCTTAATTATAGCTGTTAATTTATAACATTGGATATTAGGGATACATTCATTGGAACTCATTTGTTTTCACATGACTGAAAGTCACTTGTTTAAGCAAAAAGAGGAAGTTGTTACAAGATACAAAAATTTGTTAGTAGGCATGGGGCGCAGGGATTGTAGAAAAGCAAGAAATCCAGACCCCCCCCTTTAAAAATATCTTTAAATTTAAAAAATTGAGATATAATTCATATGATTCATGTACCATAAAGTTCATTTTTTGAAGTGTACAGTTTGACGGTTTTTAGTATATTTCCAAAAATGTACAACCATGATCACAGAGCTGAGATTAGACTCTTGATCTGACCAACATGTGCGGCACCTCTTTCATTATCTTAAACTTCCGCCCTTACTTCTGCTATGTACCTTTCCTAAATTATATGAAAACAAGGCAACAGCTGTTTGCCCTCCATAAATTAGATTCAGGAAGTCTTTTTACTTCACAAATCTTTTCCCTCCGTTTGTTGGTTAACACAGGTTTCTCCTCCTTGCCAGGGTTCTTTATATCTAAGGATACAGAAGCCTCTGGCTTTGATGGGATCAAGATTTAGGAGCTTAGTCCATCTTTAAGGCTGTTTGTATTTAAATACCTTCAACTCCTGTAGGGTTCTTATGGAATAATCTTGGAGTAAGATGTTAAACCAATTACTGCCTTCAAAATAGGGTCTTGTATTAGAATCTTATTAAAATAAAAACTGCCCCAGCATGGTGGGGGGGTAAAGGGGGGGTGGTCAGGAGGAGAAGGAAGAGCACCCAAGTCTTCAGGGCTGAATTTTACACCCTGGCTTCCTCTTCTGCGTTTGTAGTTATGCTCACTTACTTCATAGATCATAATTGCAAGTGAGCAGACTAGCTATTGACTGTTCCGTGTTTTGAACTGAGTGGTGACGGGCTTAATCAAGAAAAAGAGGCATGATTAAAGCAGTTTTGAAAATCTGTTCCTTAAAGTGAGCCCCATAGAGGCTTTAAACATTATTTCTGAACATGTTATTTTCTTAATGCAAAACAACACATATTTATTTTTCTTCCACCTGGTCTCACAAAGTATTTGAAATGACACACACACACACGCGCACAAAACCACAATCGTCCCTCCCCATGCCCCGAAAGCAGCCAGTATCTTCTGTGGTAAAAATAAATTAATAAATCAGAGGGGTTTTTCTCTTCTCATATTAAATGTGAATCGGATTTTAATTGCCATATTTGCTAATATGTAATTTATGACTCCTTTTTAGTGTAATTAATTTCTCTGCAATCTGTGGAAATAAGGACACATGTATACATATCTTAGATAACAGAAGTCTTAGTGAAAACTAGACAATTTTGAGATGCACAGAATGGTTTGGAACCATGGTTGAGTTGGCTACCAGGAGGCTGAATTAGAAATGTGTAAGATTAGAGGCCAAACAGACCCTAGGATTTCAGCCACAGGGAGAAGTTTTCAGGAGCAGTGAGTCTTTCCAAGGTCAGCTAGGTCGGTCTATGAGGCACGCCACTTGGTGACTGGGGAGTTTGACAGATAATCTGGCAAGATCAGGTTGTTAGGCAGACGGGCAACTTGGAGAGGATGCCCAGCGACACATTCCAGTGTTTGAAGCCAAGACCCCAGATCCCAGAGAAACTGGGAAGTCAGGAGGCTCCAGGACACAGACTAAGTAATGAACTGGGCTGAGGGGTGAGGACTAGTGCTGGGTTGGGGAGGTTTCACTGCCCCTGACCAGAGGTCCAGAGCCAAGATGCAGGGGTGAGGCTGGGATGCAGGGGTGAGGCTGGGATGCAGGGGTGAACTTTCACCTGTTGAGTTACACCCCAGCTTTACAATTGTTTTTTTCAACTTCTTTTCTTAACAGCTTGTTTGTCGATTCCTTTGTTTAGGTTTCAAAAAAACCCCATGAACATGAGAGAAAGAAAGTTGATCTGGGAGGTGGAAGGCAAGTGTAGACAGAGTGCAGAATCCTAGAGAGAATTTTTGACATCATTAAGTCCAATGGCTTCATTTGACAGATGGGAAAACGGAGGCCTATAGTCCTAGTTATATGTGAATTAAATTTCCACGGTCACATGTCTAGTTAGAGTTGTTCTCAGGTGTCAGGTAGTATAAGAACCACCTAGAGAATTTGGAAGCCAATTCCTTAGTTCCTGGAGATTCTGATTAGGAGTTCTGCAGTTGGGTTCACACCTTTGCAGTTTCAACAAAGGCTGTGGGTGATGCTGTTGCAGGTGGGGCTGGGACTGGGCTCTGAGAATACCCGATTAGAAGGCTTCCTTTCCCTCTCCCAGTCGAGTCTGTCTCTCATTAAATCCCATTTTGTTCCAACCCTTCCTGGCCTCCCCAAAGCTGGCCACCATCAGCAGCCGTATCCCCGTCCCCACTTCCTTCATGTGAATGTTTTGGACCTGGTCTGGTAAGGGGGTCAACATCCTGCATGAGGAGATGCCAACTGATTTCAACAATTACTCGCCAAGAACGTTTTCTGTTCTAGGCTTTGTCCTACCTAGAAGTTTGCTTGGTGCTCATCAAGGTGAAGGGTAGAGTCCATCTGTAAGTGGTTGTCTAGGGCACGGTGTAAGGAGCCCTTGAATCAAGACCACAGACCACAAGACCCACTGTACTGCGGGGCGGGGTCCACCCTGGGCAGGGGCCCTCAGAGCAGGCTGACATAGCAGGATACAGGAGAGCACAGAGAGTCGACTGGGGCTGTGCTGCAGGCCTCCGAATCCAGCTTTCTGCCCCCCCCTTCCTGCTCTTCTTAGCTGTGCATGACAAAGGCTTTTATGAGTTCTAATAATGACATTCTTCAAATACAGCATGGCATTTCTGTTTCAAACTCAATTTGTTTTTAACTAGGTTTCCTATTTTGAGATCTACTTGGATAAAATCAGGGACTTACTCGATGGTGAGTAACCTGAATGTTTGTCCTCTATTTGTTCCTTAACAAGGTCCAGGGAGGTTGAAGTGATTCGTAGCTCTTCTGCTTAAGGAATTAATGAAAATTTATAGAGATGTTTTATTACCTTTATGCTATCTGCTTATTCTCAACCAAGGCTTAAAGAGATTATTAGATTTGTGTATCTTTGGTAACAATTTCTCTTTTTCCTCCAGTACAGAATCTTTAACTTTTCTTTTCTCCTCTGCCTTATGTCATCCTTATTTTCAGTATCCAAGACGAACTTGGCAGTTCATGAAGATAAAAACAGAGTCCCGTACGTAAAGGTATGAGGAAAACTTGATGATGCCATTGACTTCTCTCCCAGCACTGTTACAAAATATGCCCAGAATATTGTTTTGGAGTGTATGTAGGTGTTTCATCATGTTCTTTATATTTAATATTCATCTGGATAAAAAATAGACATTTAATTTCTTCAGTCCTATCTGTGTGTGAATGTGTCACAGAGGTCTAATCACATGAGTAAGAAGTGGAGAAGTGAACAGATATTTATTATTCACATGTAAAGAGGCTTTGATAGTGGAGATAATTGTGTATACTTCGCAGGGAGAGGAAGCCTATCATAGCATTATGCCTAGAACTTCAAAGTGACTAATTAAAGTTGGTGGCTCACATGAAAAGCAAAGCAAAATTTCATCCATTTCTTTTTCTGTCCCTGATTTTCTTTATTTTCTGTTTCTACTGCTGTTGAGTATGCACAGGTACTTAAACATCTAGGAAAAAGGGGACATTTCTTTTCTGGTTTACTTCTGGGTTTCTTAGGGTTTTAGCAGACTCCTCTTTGATGTAGAACTCAAGCCATAAGCAAGGAGGAAGAGCTGTTGGATCCACATGGCAGCCTTTCTCTTATCCTGCACCTCTTGAGGAAAAATGGGAGAACGTTTAGCTGTCTTCAAATAGAGTTGCTTTCCAGTTTCTAATGGTGAACCCGATCTGACTTTCTTCCAGGGGTGTACCGAGCGGTTTGTGTCAAGCCCAGAGGAGGTCATGGATGTGATAGATGAAGGCAAAGCAAACCGACATGTGGCTGTCACAAGTAAGTGTGGGTGGTGTTTTCTCAAACCCTGTCACTTGGGATACAAGTGTATTTCCTTGGGACCACTAGGAAATAATGCCAGGGAAGGCATTATAATGCAGTGGCCCGGAAGCAAGCACACAAGCACCCGGGAGTGTGCAGTACCAGAGTGTCTCAGCAGGTTGAGGGAGGCATGCCTTCTGCCATGCAGCAAGCTCTCGGGAATGCTAGGTGAGGCTCGATGGGCCTTGGTAGCCCCCTCCCTCTGGACCCTGGGGGAAACCATCAGGAAACCACCAACAATCAGCCAAGGAAAGGGGACTAAAAGCCAGCTTCTAAATGGATTTTAACCACATTATTATTCAGGTTAAAGAAAATGCAAGCCAACAAATTTTATATGGTAGCCATATGTGTGGAAGGAAACCTCTTTAGATTTCTGCCCTCTGTAAACAAGGAAAAGAACAAGGAGCTCAGAAAGTGGAGCCTGGAGCCTCATTGAAAACCTTCCTTTGCTGTGTTAGTAACAAACACATGCAGGCCGGCGTGTTGACCTTGCGGTTCCTTCCTTGGCGTGCACACGCATCTCCAGGAAGTGGGTCTGATGTTCTTAGAACGGCAGCAGCTCTGGCCCCCCGTCGTTGGGCTGTCTGTCTCCTTCTGAGGAATATGAACAAGTCAGAATGAGTTCATAGGAAGAGCTAGGGATTTCTAGCTTGGAAGAAAGAAAAACTCTGAGGAGGACATAGGAACAGTGTAAAATATTTCTTAACATGTTCACGGTGCTGATATGCATAAAGTCGGTTTGCTTTGTATGAACCACATAGGTAGGCCACCCAGGATTGTTGAAGCTACCAAGAGGCAGGTTTTGACTGACCATGAGAGCTCCCTGCTCCCGAGAGCTGCCCCCAGGAAAGCCTGCTACCTGGAGGGGCCGGGTTCCCTGTGTGGCATACAAGAGATGGAAGCATTGGTTGGTTGACTGGTCTAGCCTCTCTAAGTCTCTTCTACTGAAGGCTCTGTGATTCTGTCATCCAATACTGTAATTCTCGACCTTTCCTCTACCCCAGCATCCTATCAGATGATATTCACATGTGTGGCAGATTTTATAGGTGAGCCTAGACATGTATACAGCATAGGTTAAATTCCATGTCTTTCTCTTCTGCTTCCACATAAGGCTGATATTCTCATAGTAATAGCATCTCGTTTATAAAGAAGTTATTTGTTTGAGGGGCGCCTGGGTGGCTCAGTGGGTTAAGCCTCCGCCTTCGGCTCAGGTCATGATCTCAGAGTCCTGGGATCGAGCCCCGAATCGGGCTCCCTGCTGAGCAGGGAGTCTGCTTCCCCCTTTCCCTCTGCCTGCTGCTCTGCCTAATTTTGATCTCACTTTTTTTTCTGTCAAATAAATAAATAAAATCTCACAAAAAAAGAAGTTATTTATTTGATTTCTTAAGCTATTTTTAGTCTTAAATTATTCACAGCATACTTGACAATCCATCTTGGCCCTTGGTTCAGAACTGTAGGTGTAGAACATTAATTATTTTTCTTATCATTCTGGTAAGGTGGTTTTAAAATTACACATAACATAGAACTTACCATTTTAACCATTTTTAAAGGTAGAGTTCACTGGCATTAATTCCATTCACAGTGTTGTGCAATCATTATCACTGTCCATTTCCAGAATTTAATCATCCCAAAGCTAAACCCCATGCCCATTGAACAATACCTCCCCATACTTCCTCCTCCCAACCCCTGGTAACTGGTTTACCACTTTGTGTCCCAACAAACTGGATAAGTCTAGGTACCTCATATAAGTGGAATGATAGAAGTCCTCTTGTGACTGGCTTATTTCATGTAGCATAATGTCTTCAGGGTTCATCCGTGTTGTAGCATGTGTCGGAATTTCCTTTTTAAAATGCTGAATAATATTCTATTGTAGGTATATGCTACATTGTTCTTTCACCCACATATAGACATATGGATACTTACGTTGCTTCCACCTTCTGGCTATTGCGAATACTGCTGCTGTGAACATGGATGTTGAAATTTCTGTTTCCAGTTCTTTTGCGTATATATACAGAAGCAGAATTTCTGGATCATATGTCAACCTACTTTTAATTTTTTTGGGAACTACCACATTGTTTAACATAGTTTAACGTTGTAGTTGCGTACCATTTAACATTCTTGCCAACAAGAGTATGTGAGTTTCAATTTTCTCTACATGCTTGCCAATGCTGCTTAGTTTCTATTTTTAACAGCCATACTAATCTAATGGGTGTGAAGTGTTATGTCACTGTGGTTTCAATTTGCATTTCACTAATGACCAGTGATATCTGGCATTTTTTTCATATGCGTATTGGCCATTTGTACATTGTCTTTGAAGAAATGTCTGTTTAGGTCCTTTGCTCATTTTATAATTGGGTTTTTTTTTTCTTGTTGATTTATAGAAGTTCTTTGTATATTCTGGATCTCAGTTCCTTATCAGATATACGATTTGTGAATATTTATTTTCTCTCATTTTGTGGGTTGCCTTTTCATTCTGTTGGTGCTGTCCTTTCATGAGTAAAAGTTTTAAATTTTGATCAAGTCCAATATATCTGTTTTTTACTGTTGTCACTTGTGGTTTGGGTATTATTTCCAAGAAATCATTGCCAAATCCAGTGTTGTGAAGTTGTCCCCTATGTTTTCTTCTAGGTTTTATTGTTTTAGCTTTTACATTTAGGTTTTTGATTGTTTTTGAGTTAGTATATGGCCTAGGTGAGAGTCTAGCTTCATGTTTTGTGCATGTAGATATACAGTTTTCAGCTTAGTAAAGAGACTGTTGTTTTCCCGTCAAATGGTCTTGATACTCTTGTTGAACATTATTTTACCATTTTTACGTGAGGGTTTATTTCTGGGCTCTCATTGGTCCATCTCTGTGTTTGCCTTTATGCCAATGCCACACTGTCTGATTATTATGGCTTTATGGTAAGTTTTGAAATCAGTAAGTGTGAGATCTCCAGTGTTCTTTTTCAAGATTTTGTTTTGGCTGTTCAGAGCTCCTTGAGATTCCATAGGAATTTAAAATGGACTTTCCTATTCCTGCAAAAAACACAATGAGGATCTTGATACAGATTGCATTAAATCTCTAGATCACTTTTGGTAGTATTGACATTTTCACGATGTGAAGTCTTCTGATCCATAGACAAGGAATGTCTTCCCACATAGAGGTGTCTTCTTACATTTTGTAGTTTTTATTCTTTTTAAAATTTTTAGAAGATTTTATTTGTTTTTAAATAATCTCTACACCCAACGTGGGGCTTGAACTTTTAACCTCAAGATCAAGAGTCGCATATTCTACTGACTGAGCCAGCTAGGCACCCCTCATTTTGTAGTTTTTAACATAGATTTATTTCCTTGCTTAAATCTGTTCCTAAGTATCTTCCTTACTCTTTTTGTTGATATTTTATTTCATTTATTTATTTTAGAGAAAAAGGGAGAGAGTGCGTTAGGGTGGGGCCAGAGAGAGAATCCCAAGCAGTGGTAGACCCTGACGCCGGGCTCAGTCTTATGACCTTGAGATCATGGCCTGAGCTAAAATCAAGAGTCGAATGTTTAACAGACTGAGCCAGTCAGGTGTACCTCTTTTTGTCAAAATTTTAAATGGAATTATTTTCATTTCAGATTGTATATTGTTAGTATATAGAAATGCAACTGATTTTTACATATTGCTTTTGTATCCTGCAACTTTTGCTGAATTCATTTATTAATTCCAACATAATTTTTGTGTAATCTTTAACTTTTTCCCCCATATATCCTGGAAAGATTTTTTGGCGGGCCGCCAGAGGAAGCAGCCTTTATTCACAAGTTACCTCCAGAAACCAAAAAGACTATGTGCCCACTTTCAGCACCTCCTATCCTTCCTGGATCTCACACTGCTCCACCTGGGGGAAAGGAAGAGATATAAATTGCCTTTTGGTTTTCCAAAGCCCCAGTCTTTCCCCTCGCTCTGTGGTCTTAGAAATTCAGTAGCAATACTGTTGTTTATTTTTTTCAGAAATGCCTGATGCAGCTACTTAGTAACAATTATGGGGGAAGGGTATGAGGGGAAGAAGTTGGGTGAGTGAGAGTGATGCACAGAGAATAGGAACCTAGTCTATCAAAAGTCCTTCTGTCTTGCCTTAGTGGCTTGATCCTTCACTGGTTGCATTTCTCTTCGCACCAGATCACACCTTTCTGAATCACATGGGGGACTTCCACTACCAGCCATGGACACAGCCCCAGAGCCATGAGATGAGCTAGTCCAAACGTGGGCACAGTCCTGGCCCACAAAGGCTTAAAGTGATTGGTCAGGCACATTTTGCCTCCCATGTATATCTTTGCTGTTTTTTCATTGAGTTCAGGGGCTGTAATTTCTGGAGCAATAGAATATTGCTCCAGAAATTACATATCTGGGTTATGTGATAGGAATGTCAAACATCATGTCAGACTCATAGTTGAGGAGATCATGGATATACCAGCATTTTCCAAAACTCTGAGGCCCTTCCTTGTTGGACTCTAGTTGGAATCAATCTTTGTCTACATTCTTGTTGTTTTCTACATACTGGATAAGTATGTAGATAAAGTATGAAGATATTCCTCTTTGAGTCCTGCACCCCAACTCATGATCTGGAGGTCCAGCGTTAGTCTTCAGCCATCTTGAACAAGGGTGCCTCGAAAGTTGGTTTTAAGAAATGATTGCTAGTAGGGGTTGAAGGAGACCATCACTGAGATCTCTCCCTGCCTAGTTAACAGAGACCAGGGTCCAAAAAGATTTCTATTTCTAGTACTTGGTACTGATGAAGCATATTTAATCTTTGAGATCTTTTGTGTGCCTAGTATGGGTTATAGAACTGTATTTAAGGAAAAAAAAGTTTTAAATCTTAAGGTCATAATCCTTCCTTAAGAAAGCTTGTGATATTATGGATAAGGCAAGACTTGCACATATGACGAATACGGAATACACTGGGTTCTAATCATAAAGATGAAGCCTGAGAGACTGAAGGTGAGGGGGAAGGAAGCTGTGAGCTCTTTGTTCTTTTCTTTTCTTTCTTTCTTTCTTTCTTTTTTTTTTTTTTTTTTTAAGATTTTATTTATTTGAGGGAGAGAGCACGAGCGAGAGAGCACAAGCAGGGGGTTGACAGAGGGTGAAAGAGAAGCAGACTCCCCTCAGAGCAGGAAGCCCGACACAGGGCTAGATTCCTAGGACCCTTAGCTCATGACCTGAGCTGAAGGCAGATAATTAACCGACCAAGGCACCCAGGCACCCCAGGTGTGAGCTCTGTGAGGCCAAGTATCCGGCTGGAATGAGATGTTCCAAAACATGGGGGCTTCAGGCAAAGCTAGAGAATCTGTTATCTTGAACCATCCACTAAGATTCTTAATTTCTTTGCCATGTGAAGATACTTTAAATCTCTCGTTGTCTTTTTTTAAAAGAAACCGTGGTCTCAGATACTTTTTAAAATTGGCTGGACTTACTTTAAAAAGTGGAGGTATATTGAGAATGATTTGTTGTGGTTTTTAGATGAGAGGCTTGCTACCTAAACTTATTATTCTTTGCAGAACAGTAAACTATTTTCCTTTTCAGACATGAATGAACACAGCTCTAGAAGTCACAGTATCTTCCTGATTAATATTAAACAAGAGAATGTAGAGACGGAAAAAAAGCTCAGTGGGAAGCTTTATCTAGTTGATTTGGCTGGGAGCGAAAAGGTAATTGGTTCCTTATTTGTATTATCTATAATTTTCCCTATTATTTGCTTCAGCGTGCAATGGTATAATTTTTATACTCTTTCCATTCCCTGGTTTTAAAGAGCTTTTAAAGTTTCTGGTATTGTGCCAAGATAATATTAAATTTCACCTTCATTTTTCTGCTCTCTTTTCTGGTCCTGAAGTCCCCTATTCACGACACAGGAGGTGCTTTGAATGCCAACTCGGATTTATGCTTAATAGGCCCTGATGAGGACATTAGGCAAGTGCTGGTGTGTGCTTAGCCTGGTAGAGGCTGTTGTGTAAATGGGGGAGGGATGTGTCCGTTTGCTGAAGGGGAAGATCCGCATGTTACACCAGATTTAAATAGGCAGAAACAGACTTTGCCATTGGACTATAACTGTCCTGTCCCCACACGTTTGTTTGCTGACAGAAGATCTGGAATCTGGGGCTGTCCCTGGGTTCTCTGCTTCTGTCTGTGGTGGGTGTGGTCTGACAGGGCTTCCTGTGGGCAGACTCCCTTCCTTCAGGCCAGGAGGCCAGTAGGCCAGTAAACAGGTCAAAAGCCCTGCCCCTTCTCTGGTTTTGTCGGGGCTCTCTTTTGGCATCTGTCCCATGCTTTCCTAGGCACTGGCTGAGGCCATACTCTAAAGCAAAGAACCTCCTAGCTGCCCCCTCCCAGCCTCACCTCCATAGCACTGCCGGAGCTTCCTGCTGCCACACCCTTTCTGGGGGCACTGCTCCCCTCCGGTGACCTCACAGAGCAAGTCCCTGTACACAATATCACGTGGCCTCTGTCATCGCTGACACTGTGCTGACTGGCCCCAGAGGCCAGCCCTGAGGCTCGGCCAGTCTCCTAGACTCTGTAATTGATCCCCACTTACTGTTCTCCACCGCACAGTTGTGATACACCAAGTTATGGCCACTAACATCTGCGTAAGTAATGGCTACTTGAAATGTTCTCCTGTACACATCTGTAAAGCCATGAGCAGAGTCATGTTCCAGGATGTTCCTGGAAAAATGATCTGGCTGGGTATCTAACATTTTATGGGTGCAAGTTTATAACTGTAATTAAACAGACACGCACCAGAATGGGAAGACAGAGCAGCATTATTCAGTTCTCGCCTGGACATTGGCAACCAGGCCTCGCCTTGCTGCCACAACAGCTATGTGGGTCTGGGGAAAGAGCGTAGTGGCCCCTTTGTGCTTCTGAGTTTGCTCTCTTTCCCTTTCAAGCACAGAGAGGAGCACTTGGGCCTGTGTGCTGCTGGAAACAGCTTGGTGCTGGCGGTCGAGTGTGCAGGCCTGTCCTCTGCACAGTGTCGTGGTTATTGCTTAGGATATAGGCACTTTACAGTTGTGGTACTGTACCTTGTTTCTTTAGCTCACATCTGTACTCCTTTGCCCTAGACGTGTCCACATGAATGTGTCACTGTGATCTACTAGAACGAACTCCGGGCTTTAATCTCCAGCTCCCCTACATGGCGTTCTTGCCTTGGGCTGCTGGTGGACCTTTCTGGAGCTCAAAGTTTCCATGTCTGTAAATGGAAGGCAATTGTCCCTGTCTTGTATATTTCATGGAGTTAAGGTGCTCCGATGTGAAAGCACCTTAAAGCACGCTGTGTGAATAGGCTGTCGCTGGGGGCCCAGCAGCTGTATTATTTCTCTGTCAGCAGTGGTGTCTATACACACACAGTTCTCAGAGAGAGGAGTATCTCTAGTGTTTGAAAACACTGCCCCCTGGACGCGTGTTCGTTTCTATCCCTTGTGGCTGGCGGTCTTTGCACAGTTTGCGATCCCTTCCCTGCTTTCCTCTCTTCCAAGAGAAACTGCTCCTCCTGCCTTGCTTGGCCGACTAGCCGAGCCAGGGAGCACGTGGGTTTGCCTCTCTCCCAAGGATCTGTAAACTGCTCTCTACCTAGAGCAGACGCTGTCAGTAGGAAATTGCCAGGAATAACGCAGCAGAGGAGGGACTGTATGTGGTCCCTCTGGCTGCAGAAGAGAAAAGACAAGTCTACCACGTAACATACACTTTCTTGACTTTGATGCCCCCGAGTATGTTTCCTTTTGGACGGTCATTCCCTTTCTCCTTGCTATTGGAGTCAGTAAGTCAGGGAACAGAGTCAGTCAGGCAGGGACAACCTCCCACCACCTCTTGTCTTTGCCTGAAGTTGGAGCTTATAATGTACACTTGCCCAGTATGTCCATTCATTGTGGCCAGGATGGTGTTTTTGTGTCATGCTTCCCCCTGGGCTCCCTCTGGTGAGGAGACTGTGGCTCAGGCGTGCAGGGCCCCAGCCTTTCTGGTGGTGACAGCACTCTTGGAGCCTGGTTTCCCTCGATGGATGTCCCCCAGGGAAGCATCTGCCTCTCTACCACTAGAGGCATTTCAGCCATTCCCCTAAAACCTAATTGAGAGGAAAATGACAACAAGACAGAACAAATCCCCAGCCTTAGGCACAAGGGAAGGTTTGATCAACATGATTCTTACTTACTTTTATTTTGTCTTGCGTTCCAGGAGGATTCACATCGGCCTCCCTCAATCCCCAGCCCTGTGCCCTCCTGTGAATTGGAATTTTCTGCTCTGTGCTTTTGCTGCCCTGCGCAGCTCACTGCTTTCTCTTCTCTCTGGTAGGTCAGCAAGACTGGTGCCGAGGGAGCTGTTCTCGATGAAGCTAAAAATATCAATAAATCTTTGTCTGCTCTTGGAAACGTGATCTCGGCCTTGGCAGAAGGGACAGTAAGTGATCCTATCCCCATCTGTTGAATGATATTATGAGAAGTCGCTTTTTGGGTCTGTGTACTCTCTTTGCCACATATCCCAGAGATTAGTTTGTTTTTCTTTGGAAAGGAACAGAGGGAATCCTGGCTGTAGACATCCTACTTGCTGGGAGATCTAGTCCATTAAAATGTGTGAATGGTGATGCTAATTTCCCCAGGCCCCAGACTGGGCACTCTAAACTTTGGCCAAATCCAAAGACTGGTTAACAAATTGTTTTACACATGTTTCTAGGTCCAGTGTCCCCTTTGCTAACTTGCTTGTGTTTTCTTTGTGAATGGACAATGGCTATAATAGCGAATACTTTTTTTTTTTTCCCTAAATAGAAAACACACGTGCCATACCGGGACAGCAAGATGACTCGGATTCTTCAGGACTCTCTGGGTGGGAACTGTAGAACCACCATTGTTATTTGCTGTTCTCCCTCTGTCTTCAATGAGGCTGAGACCAAGTCAACACTGATGTTTGGGCAAAGGTGGGTGTGGTCTCTCACTCCAGTGCTCTGAGTGAGTGGTGAGGGTTAGTGTCAGCGAGGAAGTGGAGGGAGTGGCAAGCAGTCTGTTAGGAAATTGCACCTAGCAGGTGTTGCCTGTAAACTTGAGGCATCGCTGACTGAGGCCAAAAGAATAATTATGTTTTAAAAGAATCTGCAGGTATATGCCAGTCAGGGGTATGATATTTTTAAAGAAGTGCTTGTGAATGTATTACAGATGTGACTGCTGGTAATTCAGTGGAGTGTTGCTTTTGTTCTTCACGGAGTTAAATCTTATTTTCGGGTTCACAGGATTTCAAGTGTGTGTAGCTCAAGACTGATAGCTACCTTTAATTCCAATATTTGGGATCCATTACAGAGTCGCTTGGATGAATATGGAGTGATTGCATGAATATAAAAGGGGGTGAAGGAAATTCTCATACAAACTTGGGAGTGGGAGGCACACCATGGATACTGAGGAGAGGTCACGGCATGGTGGCAGCCATCCTCCCACCTTCTCAAATGTCTGGATCTCTGAGAACTCACAGGTGGACGGCAGGACAGTGTGGTAATCCTGAGACAACACTCGTGTGTGTGGGTTAGTGTGGGCCTTCCTGCCTCTCTTGCCCAGCCCACTCTGCTGCCCAGAGCCCGTCTCCTTCAGCCATGAACCCTCGGTGCCCGTTCAGCATGTAGGTTCCAGTGCTGCCATGCCCTTCAATTCTGAACAGTTGTGCGGTCTTCAGACAAGTCACCAGTTCCCTGTAGGCTTCACCTGGCTTATTTGTAAATGGATGCACACAGCGCTCCCCCTACCTTCCCCCGGGAGTGTGTTGTGTGGTCATACCTGAGAAATAGTTTAAGATGCCTAGAGAAAGGATGAATCGGGGTGGTCATGCCGCATGGAGAATTGTTAGGGCTTGTTTAAACTGCATTAAACCCCAGTTATTTCCTGAGCCCACAGCAGAACATAGAATTATGCAGTCATGGCACCTGTGGGATGTCTAAATAAATAATAATTACATTGAAATGTTGTAGAACTAATATCTTTTAAATTGGGTTTGGGTCCTTTACTTCTCAGATCGCTTCCTTGAGTAGTCAAATGCTTAGGTGCATGGATTGCAGGAGGATAACTCCTACAAGGGTCATGGGATACCTATAAACCAGCACCTGCTTATGGGAAACACGGAATACTGTGGTGATCATCTTGCCTGTCCTGTCTCTCCTGGTTTCTTCATCTTAAGCTTTAACATTTTTCTCTGAAGACATGTTTGAGCAAACTAGCACCAAATGCATTTATGGAGGAAACTTCTCTTTAAAAAAAAATTTCTGACTTGCGAAGTAAAAATAATCTGAATTGTTGCAAGCCAGGGCTGTCCTGGGGCGTGGGCTATCTGTCTCAAGGTGCTGCTGTGAGTGGGCATTTGTAGCTATCTGTAGGAAGAGTCTCATGACTGTCTTCTTTCTTCTGACCTTAGTGAGGCAAACGTCAGCATTGTCTTGATCACTAGCGCCCAGCACATGCTGGGAGTGCCAAGTCATAGCGGTTCCTATCTCACCTGTGTACAGAGGATGACGTTGAGGCTTAGACTCAAAGCCATTAGGTGCCGCACCTGACCCCACATAGCCAGTAAATGACTAAACGTGTAGGATGACGTAGAATGGGGATTGTAGAATATGACCCCCAGCCTCTTCTGTGCAGGCTCCTTGATCAGGATCCTCAATGAGCACGGGCCTCTGAGTCAGTAATTCCAGTTTTGAAGCCAACTTCTGTTACTGATCCATTCTTCCCTCTTGTTTACTTCTCTCCAAGCCTCTCTGTCCTCATCCATAGGGAAAACTCGAACTCCTACCTCTGAGAATTATTGGGAGGATTAATGAGATGCTTCAGTTTTGACTTAGCACAGGGTTGGGCTGGCATTTGATAGGTGTTCGGTGGTTGCAGGTTTCCCTTTGCCTCCCTTTTCAACAGTGTGCAGTCTGGGAAAGTCACAGAACAAATGGGAGTGCACGGAGTGGAATGGAATGTCTGGGATAGACTGGGGGAGAAGGGGCCGGAATGAGTGAGGTAGAGTGAGAAATAAGTTCCTGGAATGAAAGACTAAAGAAATAATGATACTAATTTGGGATTCCAGGAAATAAAAATAAAATGTCAATTATCTTTTCAACTAAAATCGATTAGTCTGCCATTTTTTTTTAAAGATTTTATTTATTTATTTGACAGCGTATAAGCAGGGGCAGAGAGAGAGGGAGAAGCAAGCTCCCCACTGAGCAGGGATCCCAATGTGGAACTTGATCCCAGGACCCTGGGATCATGACCAGAGCTGAAGGCAGACGCTTAACCGACTGAGCCACACAGGTTGTCACTATCTGACATCTTTCATCAGAGTCATATGGATACTAGACTCCATGAGAGCAGGGGCTGAGTTTATCATCTGCATCAGTCATCCCAACAAGCATCTAGCACAACTAGTATACAGTAGAGGGTCATTCCATAAGTGCTTATCCAGTGAATGAATGGATGAATTAAATGCTTATTGTGTAGGATTTCTTAGAACATTAGGGCAGGTGTTGAGCTGTGACACCATTATGTCCAGAAGTTTGGTTAGGTTTAGATCTGATGTGTTTTCCAGCCCTGTAATTGGAAAGGTGTGAGGTTTGGTTTCTCACCCTCTATTCCTGAGTTAGTTAATGGATTCTTCAAGGACATCTGACTTCTCTATGGGGCCCATACCTGTTTTATTGTTAAATATACGCATTGAACCCAATTACACAGCAGACACGAGTCTGAACATCGGATTAGACATGGTATCTGATAGCTAATGAGATTAAGCACTTTGAACTCAAAAAAGACTGCTGGGCACATCTCAGATTCAGTGTAACGAGTGTTCATTATGCTCTTGTTGCAGGGGTGGCTAGACCTTAGGGCTGTACGAGGTTCCTTCGTTATTCCTATGTGGTTTTTCAAGGACATGAAGCAAGTCAGTGTTTGTTGCTAGGCTATTTTACTATATTGATGCCCTGAATAGAACAATAGTATATTTTTTGAAGCAGTAGCAACATGCTAAGTGTCTACAGATGCCTAAGGGCAGCCTCCCAAGTCAGCACTCTTTAGGATTCTAGATTAGGTACTGGAATTAAAAGGAAAAAATGCACACAGTCTGTTTCTTGGTTTCAGTGATGAATTCTGGCTCTTTTATTTAGTCAGTTTTGTGTCTTTTGATCCCGAGTGCCCGGCATTGCACTAGTAAAGAAGTAGAAGCCATTTTCTGTGTTCTCAAAGAGCTTTTAGTCTAGTTAAGGAGGGGATACTTGAATTTCTAGGCAGCCCAGAGTCAAAAAGCTGAACACTTTTTGGGAAAAGTGGGAAAATAGAACACTTCTTGCTTTTAAGGAATAAGATACTCAAATTAGAACACTTTCATTGATTTTTTTTTTTTTTTCTTTTGGCTTCCAGCATTTTTTTTTTTTTAAAGTCTTTAATTACTCTTCCAAGGTACTTTCATAGCACATTCGAAAAGGATATTTGTAAGTTTTAGAAGTGTGAACTCAAATCACCCAATTATCTTGGAAGCCTATTTAATGTACCTTGATGGGGAGTAATGAAGGAAAAGGGGCCCCCCCCTCGGGCAGACTGATCTGTTTGGAGTAGGCCTGAATCAGCACATCTTTGACACCAAGAGTTTTGACTGACGTAGCATGAATAATTCAAAGGCTTTATTTGTATGTTGTATGTAGAAGGAGAATTGGTAATTTAGGGAAAGTGATATTATTCTTTTTCTGAAATGACCCTTTTTTTTTTTTTTTAAATTCTGCCACCTCTTGCCCAGTTTCAACGAAACAGTTAGTCCTGAATGGCGTGGATGCAAAACTCCGTTCACCAGATCATGATAACAAGTTATATGCAAGGGTAAGAGTGAGCACTTTGGCCAAGGCAGAGCAGACCCTTAGCTATACTTTTTGATGTAGGGTGGAAAAAAGTCTCAGATCATCCCCCGTTGCAGTGCCTGTGGCTGAAACACCAATAAGGTTAGTTTGTGTTCTCGGAGGGAGATATTCTGTGGATGGTGGAGGTTTAACCAGGTGCCACATCCTCATCCAAATCTGTCATTTCTCACTGTTTCTTGGGAGATTAGAGTCTCCTAAGACTCTGTCCAGAAGACACAAAATTTAGAGCTTTTTAGTTTTTCATTCCCTTAACCCCCCACTCACAAGCAAGGAAAATGGGCTCACCAGGAAATGGGAAGGTGCTCTGCAAGAGTCATGTTTCCAGAAGAAGGTTAGGTGTTTTATGTGGAGACTAGGACTCAGAACACATTAGAAGCTATCATGGTTTTATGTGTCAGCTTGGCTGGGCTGTAGTACTCAATTATTGAATAAAACATTAATCTAGGTGTTGCTACAAAGCTTTTTGTGGATGAGAATGACATTTACGTCAGTTGACTTTAGGAGAAGCACATTGCTCTCCACAACATGGGTGGGCCTTACACAATCAGTTGAAGGCCTTAAGAGCAAAAGCTGAGGTTTCGTAGAGAAGAAGAAATTCTGCCTCAAAACTGCAGCATCAATCCCTGCCTGAGTTTCCAGCCCTCTAACCCGCCCTGTGACTTTTAGACTCTCAAGTCCCCATGATCATGTGATAAATACATGTTTTAAGGTATAATGGAAGGAAAATGCTGAAAATAAGAGGTAGGAAGATACCAAGAAAAAACATCTTTCTGGCTCTCTCAGGGAGGCCAGAGTAATTAGAAGAAATTGCTGTGATATGTAGCATGTGTATGGGTTAGAACTATGCCTGGAAAGTATAAGTAGAGGCACTTATTGAGGAGTTGGGTGGGGGTGGGATTTATCATGCAGAGTGATGTGAACCGAATAGTCCTAGGATGGCCCCTCTTCCAACAAGGGCTTGATTCAAGTGCCAAATTACGAGAATGCCTGTAGTTGCCACCCATGGGGGCTTAATCTCAGTGGTAGAGATGGACGTGCTTGGCAGTCCTAGATGC